TTAATGCAGAACACCATGAAATTCCAAAAGGTTCACATACTTTTTCTTGCAACTGTACATGCCACCAATACATCATCTCCCTACTAAGAGCCAATTAAGAAGGGAATCCCACACAGAAAATGGAAGAATATGTTTTTCTTGGTCTGAACTCTTTAGAGCGCTATTTCCTAGTTGTGGCATCTTCCACATGTGTGGACTTCAACTCCTAAAATTCGTCACCCAGTGTCACCATTGGAATAGGACTATCCAAAGGTCTGTCCAAGAGCAAAGTTCTTGTACAAGGCATTAGATACTGAGAAATCAGGCTTCATCAGGCTTCCTTTGTATTGGGCAGTACAGTATGCAACCGTACTGATATTTTAAATGGCACAATTGAATCAAAGAGTTACTAACGCTAGGATCTCCAATGTGGTACCTTTTTGGTTGTGGGTACCACCTTCCTACTCAACTCTTTACATTGTGAAATATGATTTTACTTTTAAACAGCAGGAAAAAGTATATTGTTATGCTAAAAGCAAAGCTCAGTCTCCATAATCCATTTCCAAGAATTCCCTTGGATTCTACACAGCTCCTATAGCCATTCTTATGTTGTTGGTTTTTTAAGTGAGTGACGGTGGCCCAATGCTTTGTTTGTATGTGTATCCACTTGTTGAGAAAGAAATTAGAAGTAAGCCAGACTTGTGGATAAAAAGTATGGCAAAGCACAACCTCGCCAATTATCTTTTTTGTTGTGACTGACAACACCTCCCTGCCACAGCAATAATTTTCTTTGAATATCCATGACTTGCTCTCAAAATGTTCAATGTAGCCAACTGGACCAAAAAGGTTCAGCACCTCTGTACTCGTATAGCTGTCTGGCCTAAGATTTTGCATGCTCTGAAAGCATCTGTTAATACAAGGGTATTGGTGGGGACCAATGGAAACTTTCCTCTAATATAAAAAGAAAATTCCAATTCCTGTGCATACAAAAGGCCTTTCCCTAATAACAAGTGATAGCTATCCATTCATTCTTAATTGAGAAAAAAAATTACGGTGGCCATTCACTTACAGTGAGAATGGTAACTAGTCAGTATTTGCTAAGAAATAATGTATATTTCAAAGACTCTTTAAGAGACTCTTCTAACAATCAAATGGCAATGGAATATAAATAAATATTATGTTTAAATTATATTCACACATATTCTAGATATATGTTCTTTGATTAACATTAAAAATAAAAGTCCCAATTCAAAACATTTAAAACCACTGTTTAGTCA